AACAAGTCATTCCCAATTGAAATCAGTTTGATATGAGATTATATTTTAGGATTTCTCCTTTTTATTCTTGCACTGTGCCTCTTTCTGAGCTTTTTCCTTAGATTCATTTTCCAGTTTGCCTTGTGTGCATTAAATTGGGAACAAGTCATCTTGTCACGAGATGACTTGTTTCCAGTTTGATGCAGTTTGATGCACACAGGGCAAACTGGAAAATGAATTTAAGAAGAAAGCTCAGAAAGAGGCACAATACAATGCAAGAATAAAAAGAAGAGACCTAAAATATAATCTCATATGATGTTTAATCAAACTGATTTCAATATGTTGGGAATGACTTGTTTTTCAACATTATTATTCAGGAAACTTTGCCCTTAGTCTTCTTTTACTGTAATGTTCATCGTTTGGATTTGCTTTCAATGGATTGTCTAGGGTTGATTGCTTTTTAATCGAATATCTGCCTTGGGATTGTTTTTCAATGTCTATCATTTGGGGAAAAGAAACGTTGTTTGTGTTTGTTTTTGAATGAGTGTGTATCTTTTTGGGGGAAAAAAATCAATGCGAGTTGATCGAACATGCATTTATTGTCTTATTTTTGTACAGTAAAATAGGATAGTCATTTGATTCTATCCAAATCTAAAAGGTTACCTTTTTATATACCTGTGCAAGCTCATTAGCGTACTTACCGAAAAGTGTTTGTCCCATTTTTGTTACGTTTTTCGTTATTATTTTTCTTTTCTTTTTCCCTCATATTAGGTCTCTTAGTATCTTTTTTAAGTGTTTTCCTTTAGCTTGAGTATTTTCTATATTTTTCGTCGTTTTCCGGTATTTCTTCGTATGTGGTGTGCAGGTCGAGTCCTTGGCCGACTTTGATATAGAGGAGGAAATTGATTTGGCGAAAAACGGAGTCGAATTCGGTTCCCAAACGAACAAATCAAAGTGAAAGGTGATGCAAGTCAGACCCGAGCTCCTTGACCTCCGGCGATCCCGACACTTTGTCACCTATTCCGTCTTTCATCGAGCCTCCACCGACCATTGCTCAGCCTCGAGTCACCATACAGAGACGCAGCAAAAGCTCTCATCCCGCCACACTCGATTTCTGTCCGATTATCCCCATTTTCTCCAGCATCCTCGAACTTATCCGTCAACCGGGCCCAGCCGAGTGCGAAGTCGTTTTTCAGCGAGCAAATGAGAGAAGCAGACCTCTAGCAGCCACGAGAAGCCTTGCCGGCGCCGTTCACTACCTGTCATCTCTGCATCGAGCCGCCACCGTCCTCCTGCTGCGCTCCGTTCATGCATCACGACGTTGAAAAACTCCCACGCCTCGCCATCCTCCATTGCTCCACGCCAAAACTGCTCCCGCCGCGCCGCGGTGCTCGCCCCCTTCACGTCGCGGACCTCCGCCGCGCCGCGGCAGTCAGGGCCGTCGCGCCGCGCCACATTCTTCACGCCGTTCGCCTGCTGCAATTTCTTTCAAGCTCGCGTCCAGAAATCTTTGGCCGCGGCCGCGACTTCTCCTCCCGCGGCTGTGGCGAACAAAAACCTCCCAGCAAGCCCAGATTACAAAGAAGAAATGTTGCGGCCGCGGAGCTTCCCATCGCCGCGCCCAGCGGACCTTCCCGGGAATTCAGAATTTTAAAAGTCCAGATTTTGAACGCTTGAGGGGGATGTTCATTTCCTAGGTTTTCATATATTCTCTCGTCCTTAGCTTCCGAACTCGTTTTTTTACTTTTCTTTTTATAATTTTGACGTAGAACAAGAATTTACCCTCGGATTTTGTTATTGCTTTTGGATTCAATCTTGATTATCGGATTATCGTTCAAGTTCCATTAATTGTAAGTTTTTGATTCATTTAATCTATGGATTTGTCTGCTTTGATTATGGATGTTTGTGTTGATTATCCGATTGAGTAGCTAAATTAATATGTTTGGGATTAGGGGATTGATGTTTTAGAATCGTTTGTGATTGTCGGGCTTGTTGATTGTTCGTTTCGTACGAGTTGAACTTTTAAAAGGGATTTTTATTTATCGTTCTTGAATATTGAGAATTGTCGAAGGGTGACACTTCGACGTGCAATTGTTTTCAATTGTATTGATTTATTCGAGTTTGATGTTGGTGATTCTGTTTGACTAGTCGGTTAACCACCCTCTAGTTTACTTTAATCGACTCTTAGAACTGAAAGGGGAGGAGTCGGTCGAAAATAAACTCGTATGAACTAGGCTTGTTCGTAACTGCATTGCCTAGAAGTTAATTGAATTGTTAATTTGTCGTTCTAGTTTGTTCTCTTATTACGAAAAGTTATTGAGAATGAATATTTGAACGTGTCCGTTATTCAAATCAATTAGCTGAACAATCACTTGCCCATTAATTGCATATCGAACCAAAACGGATATTACCGACTCCTAGCTCCTTAAATTCTATTTGTTCTTCGTCTTAGCTCATTTTTTTATTGCTTATTTGAAGTTTCGCAGTTGTTGATAATTAAACTCAAACCAATCTTTTGATTTAGAATGTTTAGGTATGTTATTTCTTTTTGTGTGATTGAAAAAACGCGCATTATATTTCGGCTAACCTTCCTCGAGAGATACGACCCGATGTTTTTATCTTTCGATTTGACTCCAGTAAAAATACTAACAAAAAGTCGTCTTTTTTATCCGGTAAAATTCATCTCATCGGTCTTTCTGATTTGCACTAGTTTTGTCAGGCACTTCTCACCCTTCCTTCTCATCCTTTTAACCAGCTCTTTTCAGTTCAATTTTACTGACATAGGCAAACCAATAAATTTCAAGAAATGAAAACGAAAATAAACAATAAGATGACCAATTAGACAAAAAATGAACAAAAACATTATATTGAAAACAATGCGAGCTTACGGATAATGTGCCCGTGCACTAGTCGTCAATGATAGTGGGCAGCAGATCCTTAAAACAGAACAACGGTATAACTCGGCATTTGGCCATCAGGATGAAAAATGAAATCTCATCTTTATTTGGATTTTGATTCCATATTTTTTATTGTATTCCTAAAAAAAAATAAGAAAAGATGCTAATAAATAGCGATTATGTTATTTTATTATTTTTAGGTAATAATTAATGAACGGGAAAATGTTTTTAAAAATAAATTATGTTAATCCTTATTATATATTAATAGATATAGATTTATATTACAATAAAAAATTAAATTGATATCTATTATTACCGGTAAAAATGACGATTTGAAATGGTTGAACTACATATCGCTGCATATTCAAAATTAACCAAACCAAATCAAAAAATCTAAACAAAACCCAAAAATTTATATCCAAGCATCCTCTTAAAACTAATATTTTTTCTCGCATGTTAAAAGAAACGAGCCTCCCGTGAAATCATTTCGGTTCTGTTTGTTAAAATTAAAGTCTGCCTCGACTCGATTAATAATTGATTCAAATTCGAGCTCATTGAAAATTTATTTAGTTAACAAGTCAGAATCATTTAAATTTGTCTTTTAATTATTTTTAAAGTTGTCTCGTTGGGCTCGAGCTAACAAGGTATTCCCTTCTCCCCTTCTCGTTTATTCAAATAGATACTATATTACCAACAGGGGTTGACTCAAGTTATAAACAACTTGTTGTTGTTTAAGCAAGGTCCCAGGTTCGGGTCCTTGTGAAAACCAGACCGGACCGGCCGGTTCAACCTGTTGAACCGAGAATCCGGCTTCATTCCGGTCGGATTTTCGATATCAAATTGTCTAGCATTCGAATCGGTATTTTTACCTTTCGAATCGGTTAAAAACCGGTTGAACTGGAACCAGTTTGAATGGTTCACCGGTTTAAGCTATTGAATTTGAAATGTGTTGATTGGAAAATGGTTTAAATAACACACATTTTTAGATGTGTTCTAATATGGGATATGTTCTCTTGTTAAAATTATTGGGTCAATGTTGGCCTTACAAGCAATACTATACTCATAAAAAAAATTATACTATTTTTTAAATTAGAGTATTTATTGGGGTATATCAATTCCTGACTTCATAAAAAATAAATAAGAAAATTATTGTTGTTTGTTATGTACAATATTTTATTTTTAATTTTTTTAATCAATAATAAAAAAATTAAAATGTGATTAAAATGAAAATATGATTGTCTTTATTTTCTTTATTTTATAACTTAAATATGGATTAAAAATTTAAATATAAATAATAAAATAAAATATAATATAAATATTAATCAACATTGTCGGTTGTAACTATTATTGAGTTATTTTTTAGAAATATGTCATATACTATAAAATTAATAATTAAAATATATAATTATATTATACATATAAATAAATATAAATTTATATATTAAATCGTTTGGCCGATTGGACCATTCGTTCGATGAATGAACCATTAAGAGCATCTCCAATGGTCTTTCCATTTCTCTATTTTTTTGCCAAATGTCACAAATAATATTACGTGGCCTGGAAAAATTCTAGAAGTGTTTCTAGATGTAGAAGCCTTTCTAGACAACTTTTATTGTATATTAGAGTATTTATTTAATTAATTTATTTTCTTCAACCAATTAAAATTCAACACATCACAAATGAAATCACAATTATCATTAATCATTGGAGACATAATTTTTTAACTTGCATTCTCCATGTCATACAACACAAAATGAACAATTATACATTGGAGATGCTTTAAGCAGCCTTTTATCAGAACCACGTTTTTTTACACGTATCCCCTTCTCCCATCTCTGCACACAATCATCACATTTCAACACGCAAGCACTCCAATAGATATAAATATATTATCATAAATTATTTTTCTGCATTTATATATTTTTTCAGCGATATGTGCAGATCCAATTCACACTCAATTATAGAAGATTGCTGCCCATTTTAATGGCCTCGTCGGAGCTCATGACTTCTTCTGCCCCTTGAAGTTCGGAGCTCAAGCGCAAGTCCCCGCCCTGCGACCCGTCCGATTTTCTCAAAATCAGCAGCGGTGCCGGCGCTCGCGGTGGTTTAGAAACCGAATCGTCGATGGAGGGCAGGAAGAACTTCATAGAACTGAATTTGGTTCCGGATGAGGGTCTGGGGCGAGCCCGAGATCAGCTGGATGATGCTTCTGGACGACGCCGGGTCGGTTACCCCCATCGGCGGAGACGGCGGATTTGCGGCCCCGAGGGAGGCGGACGACGTGTGGCGCGGCGGCCCAAACGACGGGTGGGGATCAGGGGGGGTTATGCTTACGAGACGATATCCGGCGTTGTTGGGATGAACGAGGGTGTGGAGGTTGAGGGTTTTGGCAGACGGGAAGGAGAGAGGAGTAGGAGCTTGTCGGGGCCTCTGGATAAGGCGGAACAGTGGAGGCGAGCAAGGGAGTCGGCCGCGAGGTCCAGAGAGCGTAAACAGGTGGGATTTTGGTCATTTGGCTCATTTGACTCATTTTTTGGTTGGGTCACTGGTTAGGTAGTTTATTGATTTTTGGTTTATCGTGCGTGTAATTTATTAGGCGTATCAAGTGGAGTTGGAGTCGATTTTATTAGGCGTATCAAGTGGACTCGGAGTCGAGATTACAAGAAGAAAAGGAGCAGTTTCTGATACAAAAGGTAGTTATTTTCGTTATTCTTGTTTTGGACTTGAATGGCTCTATGAGTTGCTCATGGATATGTGGTTGTTATTCTTGTTTTATTCTTGAATGGTTCTATGAGTTGCTCATGGATATATGGTTGTGTTGGCATGGTTAACTTAATATTGTTTGAGTAAGAGTTGGCTGGATTGATCCAGATAGATCACAAGTAAGATGTTTCTGGTTAATTTTTTGTGAGTCTGGCCTTATTTGTAAATTGTGGTGTCCCCTGATCTCTAGTGAAAACCACTAACTAATGCAGTTGCTGATTATATCAATGCTGATGCTATTCTTATATGGTATGCATTTTCGTTTGACCAAGTTAGGCTATTGGCGAAGGATAGGAGGTACCTTTTTGTGCTTGTTTATTTCGATCGTGGTGTATTTCTATTTCCCATTGTTCTGTTGTAAATAATCTACTCTTTAATGGACAAATTTGTTGAGATTTGGCGGCATGTAGTTACTTGGGGCATTTATGTTGGTCCACTTTCGTGTTTTTCGTTTTATTTTTAGTTATCCAACGCGAAAGTGGACAAGTGCCACTTTTTGGTATATATATTCAAAAGCCTCCTACCTGTTTTGATCATCTGTGATACAGTGAAGACTAGTATAAAACCTTCATGTACATCTTTATTTTATTATTGGTTTCTGTATAAACTCCAAATGTCTAGATTTTTTTTTTTTTTTTTTTTTTTTTTTTT